ACATATTACATGTACTGTCTCTACATCTTATAGACATATTACATGTACTGTCTTTACACCTTATAGACATGTTACATGTACTGTCTTTACACCTTATAGACATGTTACACGTACTGTCTGTACACATTATAGACATATTACATGTACTGTCTTTACACCTTATAGACATGTTACATGTACTGTCTTTACACCCTATAGACATGTTATATGTACTGTCTTTACACCTTAGACATGTTACATGTACTGTCTTTACACCTTATATACATGTTACATGTACTGTCTTTACACCTTAGACATGTTACATGTACTGTCTCTACATCTTATAGACATATTACATGTACTGTCTTTACACCTTATAGACATGTTACATGTACTGTCTTTACACCCTATAGACATGTTATATGTACTGTCTTTACACCTGAGACATGTTACATGTACTGTCTTTACACCTTATATACATGTTACATGTACTGTCTTTACACCTTATAGACATGTTACATGTATCTATAGGGTGTAAAGACAGTACATGTAACATGTTATATGTACTGTCTTTACACCTTAGAGACATGTTACATGTACTGTCTTTACACCACCTTATAGACATGTTACATGTACTGTCTTTACACCTTATAGACATGTTACATGTACTGTCTTTACACCTTATATACATGTTACATGTACTGTCTTTACACCTTATATACATGTTACATGTACTGTCTCTACATCTTATAGACATATTACATAAAATGTCTTTACACCTTATAGACATGTTACATGTACTGTCTGTACACCTTATAGACATGTTACATGTACTGTTTTTACATCTTATAGACATGTTACATGTACTGTCTTTACACCTTATAGACATGTTACATGTGCTGTCTTTACACCTTATAGACATCTTACATGTACTGTCTTTACACCTTATAGACATGTTATATGTACTGTCTTTACATCTTAAGACATGTTACATGTACTGTCTTTACATCTTATAGACATGTTACATGTACTGTCTTTACATCTTATAGACATGTTACATGTACTGTCTTTACATCTTATAGACATGTTACATATACTGTCTTTACACCTTATATACATGTTACATGTACTGTCTTTACACCTTATATACATGTTAGATGTACTGACTTTACACCTTATAGACATGTTAAATGTACTGTATTTACACCTTATACACATATTATACGGACTGTCTTTACACCTTATAGACATCTTACATGTACTGTCTCTACATCTTATAGACATATTACATGTACTGTATTTGCACTTGATACACATATATGTACTATCTTTACATATTGCACACATATTACATATACTGTCTTTACAGTATATACACATGTTATATATACTGTCTTTACAGTATATACACATGTTATATATACTGTCTTTACGATTTATACTCATGCTACATATATTGTCTTTACGGTTTATACTCATGTTACATATACTGTCTTTACAGTTTATACTCATGCTACATATATTGTCTTTCAAGTTTATACTCATGCTACATATACTGCCTTTACGGTTGATACACATGCTACATATACTGCCTTTACGGTTGATACACATGCTACATATACTGTCTTTACAGTTTATACTCATGCTACATATACTGCCTTTACGGTTGATACACATACTACATATACTGTCTTTACAGTTTATACTCATGCTACATATACTGCCTTTACTGTTAATACACATGCTACATATACTGCCTTTACGGTTGATACACATGCTATATATACTGTCATTACGGTTGATACACATGCTACATATACTGCCTTTACGGTTGATACACATGCTACATATACTGTCTTTACGGTTGATACACATGCTACATATACTGCCTTTACGGTTGATACACATGCTACAT